AAACAATCGTTTGACCAAACGTGTGTAAATTTGTTTTTAGACTTTATGTGAGCATTCTTAACACAGAACAAATCTACTTAGTTATGATGACTCAAACTGTATACACTGAATTTCAAACCTTATGAATTGAATCCATATTTCTTTGTTAAGGATGTAGAATGTTACATCTTTACCTATTATAGACACACTAGACACGAGGCCCGCGCATTGCGCTGGTATGTTTATTCAATGTTTTTGAAATAGATTGTAAACAAATTTATTCTAACAAAATAAACTAATTAGATTAAGACATAATAAGTGTTAAATTATACAAATTTTAAAGTAAATATAAATTGTATATATATACAAAGTTGTGTTAAAATAAAATTAATAATTATACCTATATAATTATTAATATCAATTATAGGTAGATGTTATTAAATCATTCATCAAACTTAAGAAGATCACCTGAATATTATATGGTCTAATTATATTTTCAAGATCATCACATTATACAATTGATATTATTTTTGCACATGTCTTTGATATTCGATGTCAGTATTTTGTAGTGAATCGTGTATGATTTAATATCACTTGAATATTATCAAGACCAACTTTTTAAACTCAAAATTTATATTGACTTTCTGCAATTTCTATAACTTATATTCATTTTCAAGTTGCGTTGCACGGGTATGTTTATTATATATTTTTTTACATTATTGTATATTTTATTGTTATCCTAATTCATCATATAATTATATGATGAAAGATAGGTTTTTTTTTACATTATATAAACTTTATATATATATATATATATATATCTATATATATATATATATATATATATATATATATATACATTATTATTGCAGTAGGTCTATAGTCATCCTAATTCATCATATAATATAACAAATTAAAACCCTATCTTTCTAATTTCCAAAGATTTAAACCGCTCATCAATTAGATTTTTATTGAGCAAGTTATGACTAATTTACTACTGACTGTTCAGTGAAAATTGAGAAACAAGGGAAACTAAAATATATGTGATAATAAAAGAAATGGTTTGAAAGTGGGCTATAGTTATCCAAATTAAGTGTATAATACATCAAATTAAATATTTGTCTGTCTAGTTTCTAAAGGTTCAAACCTCTCATCAATTGGACTTTTATTGAGCAAGTTATAGTCAATTCACTACGGACTATTCAGTGAAAACCAAAATGTCTGTGATGATAGAAAGAATGGTTTGGAAGTGAAGCTAAAGTTATCCAAATTAAGTGTATAACTAGACAATTAAAGCCTTATTTGTCTAGTTTCTAAAGGTTCAAACTTCTCATCAATTGGATTTTTATTGAGAAAGGTATGGTCAATTTACTATTAACTGTTTAGTGGAAACCAAAATGTGTGTGACGATAAAAGGAATTGTTTGACAGTGGGGCTACATTTATCCAAATTAAGCGTATAATATATCAAATTAAAGCCCTGTTTGTCTAGTTTCTAAAGATTCAAATCTATCATCAATTGAAGTTTTATTGAGCAAGTTATGGTCAATTAACTATTAATTGTTTTGAGGAAACCTAAATATATATGATGATAAAATGAATGATTTACTAAAGCTATATGGTTTAACATAAAACATCAGTTGATATTTGTTAAATAAATGAAATTAGTTATATTAAGCAATAAACTCTTTTCATGATATATGTATATAACATAAAAGATATCATCAAAAAGAGATAGAACAATTACAATTAAAACTACATATCAATATTTGTTTTCCTTTAAGAATAATAATAATGGTTCGGTATATTATAAATTGTTTACTAAAGCTACATGGTTCAACAACAAACATCAGATGATATTTTTGATACAAATAAAATTTGTTATATTCAGCAACAACCTGTTTTCGATATATGTATGTAACATAAAAAAATATCAACAAAAAGAGATAGAACAAACACAATTAAAACTGCATATCAATATTTATTTTCCTTTGTCATCACTAAAATTTAATTGGTTTTATGTGTGTGATGATAAAATGAATGGTTCGGCCATAGGTCTATAGCTATCAAAATTCTTTGTATAATATATCAAATTAAAGCTTTATCTTTCTAGTTTCCAAAAATTTAAATCGCTCATCAATTTGATTTTTATTGAGTAATTTATGGCCAATTTACTATTGATTGTTCAGTGGAAATCGAGAAATAGGGAAAACCAAAATATGTATGATGATAAAAGGAATGGTTTGAAAGTCGGGCTACATTTATCCAAATTAAGTGTATAATATATCAAATTAAAGCCTTATCTTTCTAGTTTCTAAATATTCAAACCCCTCATCAATTGGAGTTTTATTGAGACAGTTATGATCAACTAACTACTGACTGCTCAATGGAAACAGAAATGTGTGATGATAAAAGGAATGGTTCAGCAATGGAGCTACAATTATCCAAATTAAGTGTGTAATATACAAATTAAAGGCCTGTATGTTTAGTTTCTAAAGATTTAAATCTCTCATCAATTGGAGTTTTACTGAACAAGCTATGATCAATTTACTACTGACTATTAAGTGGAAACTGAAATGTGTGTGATGATAAAAGAAATGGTTCCGAAGTGGGGCTATAGTTATCCAAATTAAGCATATAATATATCAAATTAAATCCCTATCTGTATAGTTTTCAAAGATTTAAACCTCTCATCAATTGGATTTTTATTGAGTAAGTTATAGCTAATTTACTAATGTAGAAATTGAGAAATAGGAGAAACCAAAATGTGTGTGATGATAAAAGAAATCGTTCTACAGTGAGACTACAGTTATCCAAATTAAGCATATAATATATCAAATTAAATCCCTGATTATCTAGTTTCTAAAGATTCAAACCTCTCATCAATTAGATTTTTATTAAGCAAGTTATGGTCAATTTACTACTGACTATTCAATGGAAGCCAAAATGTGTGTGATGATGAAATGAATGGTTTCGCAGTGGGGGCTACAACTATCCAAATTAAGCGTATAATATATCAAATTAAAGTTCTATCTGTCTAGTTTCTAAAGATTCAATCCTCTCATCGATTGGATTTTTATTGAACAAGTTATGGTCAATTTACTATTGATTGCTCAGTGAAAACCAAAATACGTGTGATGATAAAATGAATGGTTTACTTGACCCAAATTTAAGGGATTATCATATTAGGACTGATAAGAAATATTTCAAATAACACCTATTAATAGAAAACGAAATCAAACAAAATTAATTTATTTAATATATATACTCTCAGATCAACATGACATAAACAATAAATCATTCATATAACAAATTAAAATACACGAATGTTTTTACAGAAAACATATTTAACATAATTGAACTGTTTCTACTAATATAGATATGATACGTACTCACATTGCAGTTGACAATAGGATCATCCTTGATTTGATCTTAGTAAAATACATGAACATTTCCTTGAAAACAAACTTAACAAAATTTAATCGATCTTCATGTTAAGAAACAATTATTCATTCGTATAACAATTGTTACCTGAAAATAAAATCAACAAACATTAATTAATCTTCATATTAAAATTGTTAAGGAATACACTTACCGTTTGGTAGGACTAACACAATTAATCATTCAAATAGATTGACTGAACAAAAACAATCATTCAATTAAATAATAACCGTTAAAAATAGTTAGGAGATATACTTACAATTTTGTATTAAAATAGTTAGAATATATACTTACAGTTCAGAAGAACGAATCAAAATAACAACTCATTTGATAATGTCAATCAGACATCCTGCCTTTATTCCATGCCAATTCATGAATCTTTGACCTGTAAACAACAACAAAAACATAAATAAATAAAAATCATCTATTAATAAAATCATGAAGAACAGACGTATTATTGACACAAACTAACATGACTTATAAACAATTAACAAAAGACCAAACGTATTGTTGACATCAACTAACATATTGCGATAATATACAACTGAACATACGCCCCTTTTATATCTCCTTATTTAGACATTTCGAATGCCAACACAATTAAATATGAATTGAATACGAAGAAAGGTTTGCAATGTCAATACAATGCACCTATATAATTATTAATAAATATATATGTTGTTACTACCAATGCAATGCACCTATGTAATCCAATCTTTATGTCTATTTATTTAGACTTTGGAATACTAATGCAACAAGTAATATTGTTTACATTATCATCAATAAAATTCAATCACATGGCAATCACAAATCCAATATATCCTTATGATTAGACATTTAGAATGTCAATGCAATGCACCTATATAATTAGAATTGTTCCTATTTTTTAAATTAATTAATAATTATAGATGAAGTAATAAATACCAATCCAATGTGTCAAGATGGAGCAATTTGTCTGGCTTGTCAATCCAATGTGTCAAAATAGAGCAATTCTAGAGCTTCCAAAATGTGCCACATGGCGAACAACTCACATGGGTATTTATGGCAAACAACCAGCATGAGTATTCATGAATCTTAGAACTAAAAATATCTCATTAAAGCACACATCCAACGTGGCAAGAGAGAGCAATTCTAGAGCTCCAAAATAAAACAATTTTAGAGTAAAAAAAAAAAAAAGTGTCCTACGTGTCACTCAAATAGGTATGCTTTTACCTTTGGATTTGGAATACCAATTCAACAATTACTATCTCTCTACAACATCACCAATAAAATTCAACCACATAACAACCACAAATCTTATGTGTCAAAATAGAACAATTCTATGAGTTTCAAAATATGCCACATGACAAACAACCTGCATGAGTATTCAACTTTATATATATAGGCTGTGCATTCATAAATTAATGATATTGTAATCAATTATATGCATGATGCATCCGACTTGATTGCCTCATCAATTTAATGTTTAGAGAGGGGTGTTTTAATGGTTTTTGAAAATATTGGGTATGCTGAAAATAATCCCACAAGGGAGTTTATTTGAGAAGGGGAAATGATAAATTGACATAAATACCCCTACAAGATAAACACTTGCCATCTTCTTCATAAACCCTACTCCTGTCTTCTAAACTCGCGCGGCCTCACTCACCATCAAAATTTGGCGCCAAGTTATTTCTGAGACGACGTCGTTATTTGCAACCACCACGACGGCACCGTCACAGTTATTTTTTATTTTTATTTCTTACAATTAATCTAATTTATCATAAATCCAATATTGAGATTGGTTCAATTCCTATTCATCAACATTATTTGAAACAGTTGTAATTGTGAACAGAATCAAAATTTGGGAGGAACCCATGAAAGGAGGAAGGAAGAATTTGAAGAGGGCTGCTGAAGATCAAATTTTGACACTTCAAGATGGTCAAAGCATTATGCAAGTTGTGTCTCTCAGAGGTTCTAATCTAATTGAGGTACCCAATTCATTTGAAGTTCTTTTAAATTTTTTATTTGAATTTCTTGTCTTCTTTTTTGATAAATGTGGTTGCAGTGCAATTGGGTTTGTTAAAATTAACTCTCTTACTATTATTGGTTATTATTATTATTTTTTTACTTATGTATGGGATCTCTTATAGTACCGCACCAGTATCGATATTGGTTAAAATATCCTTTGTATGTTACTTGTTTAATGTATAATGTTACATGTTTTAAGTTCCGGTACGGATACTGATATGGTGTTTTAGGGGAATCCTCTTATGTTCATGTTCTTTTTGCCATGAAGAATTTTAAATGCTTCTTAGTTGCTTGTTTGATTTAAATTTGGTGAATTTGGGCTTGGTGATCATATTCCCAAGTTGTTAATTTTCATGATAGTTATTATTGAGAACATGCTAGCTAAGAATATGTGATTGGTGAGTGGTACCAATTCCCTGTTGTTGAGATAATTGAGGTACCTATTAATTTCATTTTTTGGAATTTTTTTTTTTTTTTTTGAAAGTCATTTTATTTTCTTGATGAATTTAGTTACCGTGCTAGTGGGTTTGTTATTGTTAATTGAATTTAGGTACCAACCTTGTTCATTCTTGTAGTGCTAAACCAAGAAAATTGTTACGAAAGCTTAATATATATTACAGGTTTTACGATTAATGTTACCTGTCTTGCGTTAATATTCAATGTATTAGTGACCATGTTGTTTAATGTGTTATGAGTTCATTTTTTAGGTTATGATGTAATGAGTCTTTGCATTTCATATTCTAACTTATATGTCTATTCTTTCCAGTAACATTATCGGTACAATGTTCTGAGCTTGAAATAGTATGTTTTTTTTTGAGCTTTTGGAACTGATTCAATAAAAGGGTGTCCGTGGTCAGTCCAGTATTGTACCTATAATTTTATTGTTAAATGTTAAGTGTAACTCTTCAAGTTTATCGATTCATGATGTCATTGCAATGCTTTATTTAGAGGATTATATCAGCTGAGTCCAACTTTGAGTCTTTGATCAACTCATTTTTCTTAATTGTGGCACCTGGATTTAGTATTTAATCGAAATAAAATGGATGTGCACTCCAAATTGTTTGAAGTTTGGATACTATTGTTAAATTTAATCTGGTTATGGCCTTTTTGGTTCATTCACTTCTAATGATTTTCCCTTGTACATTTATGAAATGAGATAGCTTCTGTGTTTGCACAGATTTGTTTCTAACCTTCCGCTTTATCTCTGCTATGTTGCCTTTTCTTAAGGTAGTGGACGCACAAGGTGAAAAATCACTTGCTCTGTTTCCAGCAAAGTTTCAAAAGAGCATGTGGATAAAACGAGGTTTGTTTCATATAAAATTGCTGACTTGGGAGATTGGGAGCATCAACTTCTGGAATATGTTAGCTTCCATATGCTTACCCAATTGCTAACATTCTGACGGACTGATAGACAATATTAAGTTGCTTTCACGATGCGCAGGGAGTTTTGTTGTGGTGGATGAAAGTGGAAAGGAAAAGGCTCTCAAAGATGGTAGCAAAGTGGCATGTATTGTTTCTCAGGTTCTTTTCTATGAACAAGTTCGAGCGCTTCAAAAAACTTCAGAATGGTTTGTTTCTTGACTTCTTAGTAACAGCAGATGAAAAATGATGTGCCATACATCTAATTTGTCTTGCATCCTTGCAATTTCCGATGTTAGTACTTGGGGAAAATAGTATCTTAAGTTGAAACCAAGTTTAGCTATTTATTCACGTACTGAACTTAACAAAAGCTCCCTAAAACAGAACTTTGAGATTGAGATACTTGTTCTAGACATACTGGTTCAAGGTGGAAATCCTCATTTTATACCATTCTGATTGTTGCAATTCTTTTACTTTTCGGCTGAATTATTGTCGGTGAAGCTTACTTGCTTATTCCACTTGATGCAGGCCGGAAATTTTCAGATCGACAAATTCAGATGATCCTAACGGAAGTTCAGAAAGATACGCCTCCTGTAATGAAGAAAATAATCGGTCTGATTTGGGTGATAATAATGATGCCGATGATGAAGATGACGATGACGATGACGGACTCCCCCCATTAGAGGCCAACACCAACAGAATCAAGCCATTGGAGTTGCAAACAGATTCAGATTCAGAATCGGAATCAGAATCAGAATCAGATATAGTTTCTTAAGTTATCAATTTTGATGATGTAAGTTTTTGTACCACAAAAATTCAAAGATTTTAAATGAAGCACAACCCTTCAAGCAGTCAAGGGTTGTTATAATGTAAAGATTGCAGCATCATATTACTGGTGCAATTTTTTTATCAAATCATCCTCAAATTAATCTTCAATTGTAAATTATGCTTCAAGTTCTAAAATACATGCTTGTTATTATAAACCAAATGAGTTAGATTATAGTATTGGGGATAACAACATTCAATTTAGAGTTAATGACATTAATCCAAGGTACGATATAATAACAAAAATCCCCTAAGGTTTCGGAAATAATAGATTTTCCCTTTTCGTTAATGAATAGTTAGTGAGCCATTAAAATTTACACTGTTATGAGTTAGTAAATATTATCAAATTATTCTTTTACTGTTTATTTTAACACTTAAAATTTAATGGTAAGAAAATTTTTGATATAACTGAAATGTTAGAGAGATTTTTGTTATTATATCATACTCCATGATTAATGTTTAACTCAATTTAGAGTTAATTTATAATAGATACAAATGACTTGTAAAACAGAATGTTTAATTTTCAATCCTTTACAACTAATAAACTTGAGTGATAAAAATGAATTTTCAAGAAATAACCAAATTAATAAGGGTTTTGACAAAAATAGAGAACTTTCAAATAGTACCAAAAAAAATAAAAATAAAGGGAGCTCTCCAAGGACTAAATATCCCTAAAATAAAAATACATACCCTTTCCATATCTGACCAAACTCATTAATTACACCCTCAAGGGTCTATTTTGAGAGCCAAATGTTGCATTCATTCTTACAATAATGCCCTTATGATCTCTAATGGCCTAGGTAGTCTAGTAAAATCACATAAAATTTGTTTAAATGAATTTTTGTGTATGTTATTAGCTAACATTAAATGATATTGATATTAAGTTATATATCATCATATTATGTTGCATACGATGAAATAACATATACATAGTATTACTATAATTGTAAATAATTTTACCTTTTCGTAGTGCATTATTTTGAGGTCATACTATAATATAACTTCAATAATATAATGATTTTTATCTTAGGGATAACAAAACCCTGAGCCTCCTCTACGCTACTACAAGTTCGGCTTGAGATTTTCAAATGAATAACTTGGGATTAGGTTTTAGAACGAATTTTTACAACCTAGTTCAGGCCACATCTGATAGGCTGGCATTCATAATTAAATGATATTGTCATCAATAATATGCATGATGCCTCCGACTTGATTGCCTCTAAATTTAATGTTTAGAGCGGGGTTGTTTTACTGGTTTTTCTCTTCCGTCTTCGAAAGATATTGGGTATTTCTTTAAAACTAATCCACAGGTCGGACGCGTCCCTACTCGTCCTTAGTTTGAGAAGGGGGAAAGATAATTGGACCGAACGTACACTCGTCGGTCGGCGCCATGGGCGATGCTGTCCACCTACACACCCCATCCTCGTTGCCATTCCTGAACAACTGGCGCGGTTCCGCTCCCCATCTGGTTCTCGTGTCTGTCTCCTCCCATCTTCGTGCCCCTGCTTCTTTGCCTTGCCTCGCACTTTCCGCCGGCCCCCGCCTCCCTACGCCCGCACAAAGAGTGTGGGAGGGGCTGGTCCACAGGGTCGCGAAACAACACGCACAATGGGTCCCAGTGTCGAAACGCGCTCTTTGCGGAGCCCTTGTACTTGTATCGCTAAATCTACTCACACAGTAAATTGTACTACCAGAAGCCAGTTTATTGTAGGCCCTGGCGGATTTGCCTGCGCATGCCACTCACAGCCTACCATGCAGACTATGAGTTCGAACAAACCAAAGCGACCTTCTCAAGGTCGGGTGGACGTCTGGAAAAGAACGCTCACCGAATTGTCGAGACCGAGGATTCGCCAGGACAGAGGATGTCAAGCATGTGGGCAAAGCATTCGATGACCACGTTTGTGTTTTCCGTCGTCTCAGAGTTCTATCTAATGAGTATCCGCCAATTGTCCGTCAGGTTGAATTCTGTTAACAGCTCGTTTTCCCTATTTGTCATTGTCCTTCGGTCTTCCTCTTCTTTTCGGATAAATCGTTTAGTCTTGCGCAGTGTCGTCACTCACTGTTCGGTGCGTGCGTGTTTTAAAATTGTAGATCTTTCTCGTATACATCGTCGGACTGAGAGATTCTTGTGAAGTGGATGTAGTTGTCGGATCGCCCTCCCCGACGTAAGACCATTTAGGTGCTGGCACCTCAGTGACTCGTGACTACTTGGGTTTAAAAGACTTGCCGGTGTGTGTCACTGGAGCATCGGCTTCGTTTAATTATAAAAATGTGAGGTACGGCCGATCTCTTCTGGCGTCTTTCACAGGCGTGTCTGTCTCTGGTCCGTGCAGATACCGGGGGGTAGGTATGTAGTCGTGGTAAGGGGGCCATCCTACGTCTAATTGTGTCGCGTCCTCTCGGCACATGAAATCTTTCAATGCCTTTCTTAGTTGCTTGTTTTGATTTAAATTTGGTGAATTTGGGCTTGGTGATCGATCCCCAAGTTTGGTTATTTTCATGATAGTTATTATTGCGAACATGCTAGCTAAGAATATGTGATTGGTGAAGTGGTACCAATTCCCTATTGTTGAGATAATTGAGGTACCTAATTTTCATTTTTGGATTTGTTTTTTGAAAGTTCATTTATTTTACTTGGATGAATTAGTTACCGTGCTAGTGGGTTTGTTATTGTTAATTGAATTTAGGTACCACACCTTGTTCATTCTTAATAGTACAACCAAGAGAATTGTTACGAAAGCTTACTATGTATTACAGTTTTTACAATTATGTTACCCTTCCCTTTGCTGTACATATTCAATGTATTAGTGTACCATGTTGTTTAATGGTGTTATGATTCATTTTTTAGGTTTGTTTTGAGCTTTTGGAACTTGATTCAATAAATGTGGTCCCGTGTCAGTCCGTGTGTTACCTCTAATTTTAACTATCTCTCTACAACATTACCAATAAAATTGAACCAGCATAGCAACCACAAATCTTATCTATCAAGATAGAACAATTGTATGAGTTCCAAAATATGTCACATGACGAACAACCCATATGGGTATTCAACTTTTTATATATATTATTTAACCATATTAAAAATTAGATTAGTTGCAAAAAAGTAATACATAGACATGGTTTTGTTGAATAAGTACATTGTCTCTGGTAAATATTACTTTGTTTTCATAAAAATTATTTGCTTTAACTATTTTTAATGATTTATAATTGGTTGCATTCAACCTGATTATAATTAATATCAATTTCTTTATTAAAAAAAATAAATATTAAAATGCACCCTCTTTCCTTCTCTCGATCTTGAAAAAAAAAAATCTAAAATATCGCAGATAATATTGCATCACCTATATCATTTTTATTTATTTATTTATTTTTGACTAAAAGCATCTAAACACTGGACTAGCTTACATGTACCTCAACTAATTCTCTAAGACACTAGAATTATTGATCGGTTGAAGAACTCTAATAACTAGCCCTACTAGCAACTAAAGAGAGATTCGAACACAAAACCACTTAAGTAATATATCCAATAATTTCTATCGAACTACTCAATCACCCAAAGGTAGTTTATACAATTTTTTCCCGAGGATTATAAGAAAAAAAATAATATTTTTGATTAAATTAAAATAATTTAATTATTGTTAAATAACCCAATCTATAAAGGAAAATAATTTTACGTTGTTGAGCTAAGTTGCTCGTCACTGGAACTCTGTACAAAATGCACCCGACTGTTCCATGTGTAAAACAAAACTAATTGTCCAAAATAAATACAATCCCATAATCTTACAACTCACAATTTATAACTAGAATAATTTACAGGTCCAAAATTGAATATAAATTTTGCACAAACCATGAAAAAAAAAAAAAAAAAAAAAAAAAAAGACCTTTGATTTGTAGCTTACTTAGAAGATAAGCATTGGCAACAGCCAACAGATTAGTGTTAGCTAGAGTTTTCCATTTATTGAAACTTACAAATGAAAAAGCTCCCTCCATCATCATTGCTGCAGTTAAAACAACCTCATCATTCAATTTGTGGTCCATACTTTCACAATCGTAGAAATCTAAACCAAACTTGAATTTTCAATCCCATATTCTGATTCAAGTTTACTGACATGAAGAACAAAAGGAGATCAGAGCAGAAGTCAAAACAACGATTTTTTGAGATAAATTTGAATAGAAAAACGGCTTTCTATTTCGATTTCATGGAAAGAAAAGTCACTATGTTGGAATATTATAAGTACTTTAGATTGGAGTGTTGATAGTATCGGCTATCTTTTGGTCTGCAGACTCAGAAAAATGAACCTATTGCTCTTGCTCCCACCCTCCTAATCTCATTTCTGGATCATAGTTTGTGAATAGGCAAAACTCATTTCCGAGTTTGCTAGAATGTCGAGGTCTAAAACCACATGGACGCAAACCTAAGAGCTTGGCCGCTCTATCCTTCTGCACTTCACCTGAAAGCATCACAATATAATTGATGACATTCACTATCAATGGCCACAACATAAAGCTCAAGAACACTCAATATAAGGATTCAACCGTTTTGCATTTAGTTTTTTAATAAAGATGTTAATTAGAACCCTAAATAGTGGGTCATACTTTCCACTACTATTTTACCATTTATAACAGAATAGCTTTAACTTGCAATAGCGCTACAAGCAAACATGTATTAAAAGTTAAAACATTTATGTTTACAAGGACCAAGTGGAAATCAATGAGTACCTGTGAGTAGAAGCACGAAAGAGTCCCCAGGTCTTGCGAGAAAAGAAACTGTCTGAGTAATTTTCTCCAAACACTCCTTGCTCTGAAATCATATACATCAGCAAAAATCAGCAATTTGTCATTAAATTTTAAAAGCAAGATATTTAAACTAAACACAATGAAAAGTAAAATTTCCATGACTTATAAGAAGCTAGTGCCCTGTGTATGCATCTACCAAAAAACCATTGCAACACATCTGACTTGACAAAACCGAAAAAATCTTAGTGGGCAGAATAGCTTGTATAGTAGCCATATATCTTATTGACAAACTAACTAATAGAAGAGTTTAACTAATAATTTTTTCAAACTATTGTGCAAAATGCAACCTGATTGGTGCAACATTCACAAGGCAAGATTATAGAAGTTCAATAACTTGTGTAATAGCTATTACAACATACAGCACATGTACATAACATGATCAAAGGAACTTGTCTCAAAAATTTACCCAAAAGTGGTGGTGTGTTCAATACATACAAACTTAATACTATAGATGTTTGATCTAAGTGCATTTGAAAAAAGCTACCATTTAAAGGCTACTTTAGAATTAAGTAGGTCTAATAACACAATTTTTCAGGGTATTGAACATTAGAGGTTCATTTATAGGCTAGTTTCAGAATATCATTTCTCTAGGTTTATTGATCTGTTAACCACCTATTATAACTAGGAGAGTGTAGAGAGATAAAATATCAATTACATACAATCAAGTCCTTACTTCTCCTCTCCATATTTCTGTCTCCCTATGTTCAGACCACACTATAGTAATTCAATATAGCCCTTTTTCACCCACAATTATATTCTAGAGTGTGTAGAGATAATATTTTTGGTATATACTTATGTACGTGGGAGTACACCTTTACAAAGATAGTTCCAATAGATCCTACAGCTTGGACAACCCATACACGTATTTATACCAGGATATCATCCTAGAAGGGTGGAATCTGCACTATCTGTGCTATGTACTTAAGGATGGTGCTTTCTAAACTTAACACAAAACTTTTGTTTTGTTGCTCGTTTTGGAGTTTTCTCGCCCTTTTTTGAAGTTTGATTGGACAGAACAGATTAGGAATTTCCATTTTATTTGTTTTAAGTAGTTCAAACACTGTTAGGTAAGGAAGGGTAATATGCCATTGCTCCAGTTACGTTCATTTAAGTACCTATTCTTATGCAAGTTTTGAAATATCAACATCAACCATAACCAGCATCTGAAGTCTAGATTCCAGACTAGATTCCACCCCTCTAGGATGATATCCTGGTGCCAATAGTCCACTTGTAGCCTGACCTTTAAGATTTGATGACCCTACCTTTAGAGTGTATTCTCAACTACAAAGGTCTAAAACACAATGAGATCTCACAAAATTGTTAATATATATTTGTCATATGGTAAATTAGAGGATTACAGGAAGAAGAAGAGGAGTGAAAATACATAATCTATGAAATAATTACTCTGTCTCTCTAGACTACCCCAATTTATAATACGAGCTATGACTGAAAGATAGCCCACTAACACTTTTATCTCTAGGAAATCAACTCATTATTCACACCATTTTATTATTAAAGTTATGCCATTATCACCCCTTAATATTATCACTAAGTCAAACACAATTACACTTTAACTAACTCTAGAAGTCTCTCAACAACACACGTACATTGAATATTTGAAATATTCTACAACAATTGCACAATATTTCAATTTTCAAAGTATATTTCTTTTACAAACAGTACATGCTTGGGAGAAACTCACACCGTATTAACATAAATAAAGAAACATATATGCTTGGGAGCACGACTACAAACAGTATTTCCTAGGAAAGACATTTTCTATAAAGGCAACTTTTAAAAAGGCATTTGGCAAGTGATTTTCTTATTTAGAAAATTACCTTTCAAGTACTTCTCCAAAAACAACTTTAAAATATCTTAACCAAACACCATAAAATCAATACACTAATATCACTTCTAAAAACACACCATAAGATTACATCAAATACATACATGGTAGAAAATGCTAGAAAAAATTGTAAGATTTGGAGTTCAAACCAAAAAGTGATAATTTCATTTGCCAATCTTTACTGAGTTTTCAGTCAATAACTTTTTTGGTGCGGAAGACAGAAAGTTTTTTGACCAAGGATGAAAATTCTGATTTCAGGATTTGAGAGCAGATAAAATAAGGAAATTTGAAACAAGTTAGCCATATACATTTTAACAATGTAGTTCACCAAGTGAAAAATTGAGCTTAATTACATCACTATATAACGTAATGCCATTCTCATATGTAGTTATTTAAAACACTATTTGATATAGGATTTCAATACAATTCTTTGTTTTTTGAAAAAAGGGACAAGATTAGTGTGCAAAAATAGTTTGCGTATACAATGTTGTGTAAAAATAGTTTGTGTATACAATCTTATAAGTTTGAAATCAAGAGGACACTAAAAAGCACATTACCTCATTATTAGCAGTTTTTACCTCTCATCCGGAATGGAAAAAAAAAAAAAGAAAAAGAAAAGATAAAGCAATGTATTTACATTTGATATTGTGGCTTTATTTTTTTGACTTCTCCATACTCAATCAAGTCATCTTTTTCGACAATCGAATGTGCCCTATAGTCCCATATTTTGTAATTCCTGAACTCTTTCTTCCATATCAAGGATCATCCAAATAAGCAAGAATCCTATTTCTACATAAAATACCCTTTATCAGTATATCAATCGAGAACAGTATTTAAATATTACACCACACACATCTTCAAATATTAAAAATGTTAGAAATAAAATTCAGATTCTAACGGCATCTTAGATTTTGAAAATTATATTCAGACCAAAGATCAAATGGGCTATTAAAGTATCCAAAATTGTATTATAATATGTCAATATTTCTAATATCCAAATACATTTTCGAAAACCATTTTCAGTTTTTTTTTTTTTTTTTTTTTCCAAGAAACGTTTCAACAAAACGCTTGTTTTTGTTGAACTTAAACAAACACAATGTCCGATTCATACCAGGTAAGGAGGATCCGCAATCACAACACTAAATGCATGCTTCAGCTCCAACGGCAAATCTTCCGGCTGATTATAATCATAAAACGTAAAATCACTGCCGTATTGCTCAAACCGCTCGTCGTATTCAAGGATTTGCGCCGCCACATTCGGTCCAATTTTCTATCCAAACAAATTCATTTCAGCTCCAAAAACAAGCAAATAAACAAAAAAAATAAAAAATAAAACAAATACCTTTAAATAGGCGTAGAGCGTGGGACAGGCAATGCAAGCGACACGCGAATCGGAGTTCGAGCAAAGAGAGACGACTTCGCTCGCAATAGTTTCAGCCGTTACGGCGTCGTACCAGAACTGGCTCAGCCGCCAGTTTTCCGACACCAAGGCGACGGTATGTGATTCCGACTCTGGAGTTTCGGCTTCTAGGTTTTGGTTTTGCTCAGCGAGGAATTCTTGTAGAGCCGCTAGAGCTTGCGAGCTCAGCATTGGTTTGTCGTCTTCGTTTTCGGTATCTACGTCGTCGTTTTGGTGGTGGCTGTTCACTGGTTTGAGCTCTTCCATTTTGCTGTCGCTCGTTTGGTTGAGGCGGGGAGTGAACTGAAGAATAGTTTAGAGGAAGGAAGAATGGGGTGTGTTTGGCAAATAGGTTTAGGGGGCGTTTGGATGAGGTTAATACGAGATTACTGGAGTTATGTCATCTTATATTACTTGATTATCATATTTGATTGTCAAATAATATAAGATTCTAATAATTTTCAAATACTAATAGTAGCTATTGTTAATAATATTATTAATAATATTAAAGGTAATCTAATTACCTCTATTTTCTTAGGTAATCTAAGATTACTAGGGTAATTTTTTTTTTTTTGTACAATTATATCCTTTATTAATAAAATTTTAGGATAATAATGCCCTTATTTTTAAATTTATTTACATGAATATGACATTTACTATTTCACACCAATTAATTAACTTTTTAGAAAAAATTATACTTAATTCAAACGCAAATTATAGCCCACTCAAGTCGCCACCCCCATCGACCTGCCATCGACAACCATTATTGCGGCCAACTGCTGCTGCCATCGGAACGGTTCATGAAAGACCGAAAATGGCTGCCGTGCATCGATATGGCCATTTTCGGCCATATATCTGGCCGAAAATGGCCATACAATGCACGAAGGCCATTTCCTGCCTTCCATGCGCCGTTAGGTTGTCGCCTTCTGGCGGCCTGTGGTGGTGTTGGCAGTCAATAGTGGCTAGGTTGGTGGGGATACTTTGTTAATTTTCTAAACTTTTATTATGAAGTTGTTTTTACTAAGTTTTTAAATACAGGGGTTATAATAACCTAAATAATAATCAATATTAAAAAATAATATAATAATAATATTTAATTAGAAAACAATTCAGTAATTTAAATAATACACTCACCAATTTATTCATTTCAACCAATATATTAATATAACATACCCACCAACTAATCAAACATATTTTTCTAAAAAATTTTAGTAATTTAACTTTTCAGTAATCCAAAATTCCCTGAACCAAACGCACCCTTAATGTAATTTGACAAGGGATTAATGTCAATTGGACAACTGTTTGTACGTGTGCACGTACTGTATTCATTTACTCAATAATCCTCTAAGTAATGATAAAATAACAAAAACATCCATCACAGTTCTTAAGTAGGGAAATACCATAAAAGAGTTAATGACTTTAAAGTTTAATCTCTTGAGATGTAATATAATAACTAAAATCTTTCTGAAGTTTCAAAAATAATAAAAATTGTTTGCTGTTGAATTTTAGGTGTTAAAATAAATGTTAAGAGAATAAGTTGATATTATTTACTAATTCATAATAGTATAAATTTTAAAGCTAATTATTTAAGTGGTTGTTTTGCTATTGTTATTAATTTGGGGTTATTGAGTGATTTGTCAATTTGCTTATAATATAGATTTAAAAGGGTAAAAAAGGTATTTTCAGTCAAAGCTGGTCAAAAGGGAATCTATATCGATAGAGAGTAGAGACTATGGGTGGAAGTGTGGAATTTTGATAGTTTTCTAGGGGTACTAATGTCGATTCGCCAAACCTTGGGTGGAAACAGATATTTCGGCTATTTAAATTTATAACCTTACTGGCCCGGCATTTTAATTAATCTTTTGTCGATCATTTAGAGTTTGTTTGATACGATTTCTTCATATATTTGTGACATTTCAACACTTTAAATAAGATAAAAAAGAGGTTATAAGAGAAGCTTAAAATTTGGACCGTTTTCTCTGAATACACATAATACAACTTATTTAATTACTTAAAAACCCTTCTTCAGTTGCAAACAAACAATTCTAATTCTTTCAAAAGAGGATTTTGGCATTAGAAAGACACTTTAAAATGGGTATGATATTGAGATGAATTTAACACAACCCATTATGATTTTGATTAATAATTAGGAACAAAAAAGATAATGCATTATTGTGATAGGATGTGCTTAGAGGAAGCATGTAATCATAATTAATCTAAAAAATAGGAAGACCATAGACCTAAAAATATATATTATAAATTAAAAACTAAAATATCAAACCCGCAAGGGATGGTCAAGCTTATAGTATGTTTCACAAAGTCTGGAATTCTAGGTACCTGATGACCGAAGGCCATTGTTTCCCATTTTTCTCGAAATTTATAGGGCTCAGCAGAGGTTTTAGATTCGATCTCGGGCTTGCAAAACAAACAAGGGGATTTTCCAAGCCGGACTAAAAAAAAAAAAAAAAAAAAAAAAAAACCTATCAGAATGGTATACCGGACAATACCCAGTAGCAACAAACTCTAACTAATCAACGTTTTCCACAAGTTTCAATTGGAATTCTCCCCCTAGGAGATGGTACTGACAGAGAAAAACAAATCCCATAATTTTCTCGTAAAATTTAAGACCAAACAACTTACCATAATAGAAAGCAAAGGGGAAAAAAGGGGTACAATTTGACATTAAACAAACTTTTAGCCAAAGACAGAAGCCAAAAGCACTCGCTTCAAAAGGGTATGATATAAAGGAATTTTCTCTTCTTCCTGCCTATAATCTTTAAAGCCATACAAAATTGTCTAACATCAAACTGAAATCTTAACCAGGAAAATTGCTGTTATAATTTCTAATATACATATATCACAAATAAAACAAGATAACTCTTGAACAAAATTTTTGAAGAGCTTATTAAGCACATAATTCAGAAACAAAAATTAAAATAATCAAATTTCTGCTTGTTTTTCCAAAGAAATTGTGAATATCCTCAACCTTTGCATACCAGATGGCTTCACAATTCAACCTCAGGAATTGAAGATGCTAAGTTCGCTAACAGTACTAAATAGGCATTCCAGTCTTACTTGTAATGTTGAGAAACTTCCCACGCAAGCTTATCCATGAATTGGCACTTTTTGTCAAATCCCCAACCAGGGTTACTCTGCATTGACAAATTGATCAGATTTAAACACCTTTTGGGTGTAGCATCTCAAATAGCATGGGTGTAAACCAAGACCAAGACAGTTACTCGAAATTGCATCATCAGTTGTACTCTTTACAATTCTAGCCCTTTCGTTTTGCTTTTTCTACTTAAGTTGTTTCAAATTACAAACATTAAAAAAGAAATCTAAATGTTGCAAATCCAATATGTTTGCATCCGCTGAAATATCATATCATTGCGGTACCAAACATGTGAAATGGGAAAACCATCTCTACAGGATCATTTTGTATATGAATGGTACAAAATTTCCATTCAATTAATATCATTAATCAAGTTTCATCTATGGACATGGTTCAAGTTAATACAGAAGAGGAAAGGCTAATACTTTTAATCTTGATGGTGTTAGGTATATCCAATCAACCTAATGACTTTGGACAGAATTAAACTTGTTTTCACAAGCTAGAAAGAAGATATTACTTAATTCACCAGGCATTGCCTGCATCATAAGGAACAACCTAACAAGTGGAGTTTACGTTTAAAGTGTATAAATTGAAGGCCTTTTCAATTGTCTCTGGATTAAGCCCATCTTGTCTCCACCATGGTGCTTAATTGCTGATATAGTATCTACACATTTAAAGTCAGCATGTAAGTTAAGATGGAGGTAGGAAATGAAATCTATTTGGGATAATCGTTTACAGGAAAAAAATTTTTTTTTTTTTGGGCAGGAGCTGGGGAACACAGTTTATGCTGCCAAAGAAATTTCATGTGGAACAAATAGATTTTGGCTTTTGTTTTTAGTAGCCATTAGATGATAAAAGATTATAAGGCCAGGTAGGATGGGATAGTGTTTAAAATTGGACTTTGAGGGGGCATATGATTGTGTGGAAATGGAATTCTTGGATGAAATCCAATAAGTCAAAGGTTTTGGACCACATACAGGAACTTGAATAGGGGAATACAGCTAATTTATTTATTTTCAAATGGCAGGCCTACAGGAAAATGTAGGGCTTTCAACAGGGCAAAGGGGACCAGTTGTCTCCGTTTGATTTCATGTTGGTGGTTGACATTCTTACTAGGCTAGTGGACTGGTGAAAAAACCAACTTGGGGGAAGGCTTCATTATTGGCAAGGATCAAATCTCAGATTCCCACCTTCAATTTGTGAATTATACCTTCTTCTTTCACCCTAGGGATGAATCCAAGTTTCTAAATCTAATTAAGGCAGTCAATTTCGTTTTCTAACTTACCAATCAAGCTAAAACGTCTAAGATCTGCATCATTGGAAAAATATCAAAGAAAGATGGATGAAATATCTATTTAAAGTGAGCTGTTCGCCCATGAAATATCTTGGACTGCCCTTAGAAAGTAACCAAGAGCCAAAGCCTTTTGGAAACCCCTTTTTTACAAGGCATTGAAGAGACTGGAAGGTTGAAAGAAAATTTGTTTATCTCACGATGGTGGCTCATTCCTATACAATCTATGTTGTCCAACCTTCCAACTTTTCTCTCATTATAATGAATTCCTATATGGCAAAGGGGCTAGAAAAGCTTATGGAGAATTTTTCCCAGAAGGCGTAAAGTAATAAATACCATTTAGTTAGGTGAAGGGTGGTTCTTCAAGCTTTTGATAAAGGGGAGCTCAGTAGTGTGTAACATAGTTAAAAGGCACGAGATTCTACAAGAAAAATAATTATGGAGGCCTCCTTTAAAAGTTAACTCCCTTTGGCATACAGTCATTAGAAGTAAAACTTTCACAAGAATGGTTTGGGATAACAAAGAAGCTATGAGGGATCAATTATCAAAGCCATTGTCCATGTACTGGTGTCTCTAAAGGCAGCACGTAGATTTTTCCAATGTGAAAATCACTGTTGGTGACGGAAAAAGGATTAGATTCTAGTAAGATAGGTTCCAGAAGCTGCTCTTTGTGATCTATTCCACATATATACAAGTTGTTAGTGGATCACAATGCTTCTATTGCTAGCATGGTAACTTCCTATTCATCCATCAGCTTTGGACCATAAGTTTCTTAGAAACTTAAATGACATAAGCTAAACATTTTCTAGTTGACAGATGACAAATGACTTCAGGTTCTTAAGAAGTCAGGTCTTTCAGTCAAGTCATACTTTAACAATAAAAATGATGATACCAAATTGCTAATGGTCCAATTCTTTAACACTCAAAAATATTTTGAAGGCCAAGTCTTCATGAAACATTAAAGTTTTGTCATGGTCTACTGCTCAAGAAAAAATATTGAAATTATTCAAAGGAAAAGACCAAAAATGTGTTTATCCCCACAATGGTGTATTATGGGTAAGAGAGAGAGAATTAATCATCTTTCAGTGCATGGTCCCACTGTTTTGCAATTACGAACTGAGCTAGCTCTAGCCCCCAAGCTATGCTAGTTTGTTCCCTCATCTTTCATTTGATGCTTATTGAAAGATTTTCCACTTTCGGGGAGATAGGAAAGCTAGTGTGTCATGGAACAGTATAGTGATGGCAATTCTTTTTGGTGCTTATTTGAACTAAAAGGAACATATGAATTTCACAACTCAGAAGTCTATATCCAGGAGAACCTCCTGTCCTAAGCGTTAGTTTGTTCCCTCATCTGCCATCTGCTTTTTTGGTGTTTTGTTTCTACTGAATTCCATGATGTGCACTCCGTTTTTCATTCATCATAACAGGGAGGCATGGCTTGAGAGGGATATTTGTTTCAATAGTTTCATAACTGTTCTGAAATAGGTGTATATTTTGGGCTGTTCCTCTACTAATTTCTTTGAGTTTGTGGACGATTAGTTCCCCTTTATGTAAATCCATCCACACTTAATCCATCGTTTTTTTTTTTTTTTTTTTTTTTTCCCTAACAATAAATAAATAAATAATTAAAGAACAAAATTTAACAGCAATACCCAGTACATGCACATTTCAACATGTGCCCTTTGTCTCAATACAATGCCAAATTATGAAGCTAGAAGATGCACATGGGTTGTTTCAAAAGGTATCTAAAAAAATGTATCTAACAAGTAAGCTACATGTCCTTACTTCCATATATGCCAGCAAAACCAGAACACAAGATCAGATCAAAATGTGAAATTGGACCAACTATTGGGTCTAATTAGTCCTAAGACAATTTTGAAATAGCATATAAGCATTCTAGATGGCTCAAGCGTAAGCATCACTATAAATACATTCTCTTGCCAAGAATATAATGAGTGAACCAACTTTAGTTAATCAATAAAGCTCTCTAACAAAACACAATTTCCACACCAAATCAACTTAAAAGCCATTTGCCAGATTACCAAGGGAAATACTAACCTGAAGAGAAACGACTGCACGGTTAGCAAACCGTTTTACAGAAGCTGGTGCACTATCAGGAACAGTTTTGGCAACTCTTTCCAACTCCTCCTGTTGTTGCTTAGCAGTTACCCTATCAGGTCCACTGTACTCATCAACAATCTCTTTCAATAATGGCACTCTCTCCATAACTTCATTGACGGCTTCCTAGAAACACATAGAAGATCAGAAATACATTAAAACTTAAGAAATGCACAAGACATGTTTATCATATGTTTTATTTTTATTATGTACACTGAATCCTCATTTCTAATATACAGACAACTTCCCATAAATTGTAAATAACAATGCTATTCTTTCCCAAAATTAAAAAGCTATTTTCCATTTTTCAAGTTTCATGTTCGTATATGGAAGCTATTGTTGAATTCAATTGTATGATTAAAAGGCCTTGAAGCATTCGGAAAAGTTTGACCAATAGTTAACATTAAAAACTTATAAACCTTAGCTACCAAGTATACTACAACTGCATTAAAAAAATTATCAAGAACGTCAAAAAAAGAAAAAAAGAAAATACAAGAATGTACCTCCCACTCTTCATGACTTTGAATTCCTTCATACGCCATCAAGAACGGCTTCATCTTCTCAAGAGCATCCCTAAGAGGAATAGGCGGTTTCTCATCAATGTCTGGGTTCTCAAACTCCACCAAGTACTCGGGTTCAAACTCAAACTGCAATCCAAAAACAAAACATCACATCACAAACAATGCCGACATATTTTCAACAAAAACAATAGTGAAACCAAAAAACAAAAAAAAAAACCTTACCAAACAATTTGTATGGAAAGCATCCAAATACTCGTCATCTATAGGAGAAGGTAGCACCCTACCACTCATCTCCTCAAACCCTTCAACCAACTTATTCATATTCTCAACCCCAATCTTCTCAGCCATTTTCTCCCCATCAGCATTGTCTCCCAAATACAAACCTGCACCAAATCCCTCATCTTTATCCTCCAATCCCCTTCTAAACCTCCTATCTCCTCTCCCTCTCCCTCTCCCTCTTCCTCTGCCCCGTCCTCGCCCCGGCCCAGCTTCTCCACCCTGCGCTAAAACCCTCAATGCCTGTTTAACAGCCTCTTCCCTGTTCAACTTGGGTCGGGCAGCTTCCGAATCGGATTGGGTGCGTCTGGTTGGGGACCGAAGATGCCTATTTTCTTCCTCCACTATCGGAGGCGGCGACGGTGACGGTTGTGAACCTGGCTTTCCACGCCCCGCCCCGGATAAGACAGAGAGGACACTTGATGGGAGTTTGCGTTCAGTCGGCTGAGTCGACTTAGTGGACAACCCTGTCCCAATGTTTATTCTCAGCGGTTTGCGAGAGTCTGTGGTTTGACTAGGTTCAGACCCGGGAGTCACATGGCCTCGGCCGCGTCCGGCACCACCTGATTTAACAGTGGAGATGAAAGAGGAAAAAGTAGGGAGCTCTGTGGAGGGAGGAGGCAGAGGGGGACTTCGCCCTTGGTTTTGACTCGGTGCCGACTCGGGTTTTGACTCGGTTGTGGGTTGACCTATGATTTTGGTCGATTTAACAGTGGAGATTAAAGAGGAAAAAGTAGGGCGCTCTGTGGAGGGAGGAGGGAGAGGGGAACTTCGCCCTTGGTTTTGACTCGGTGCCGACTCGGGTTTTGACTCGGTTGTGGGTTGACCTATGATTTTGGTCGATTTAACAGTGGAGTTGAAAGAGGAAAAAGTAGGGAGCTCTGTGGAGGGAGGAGGGAGAGGGGCACTTCGCCCTTGGTTTTGACTCGGTGCCGACTCGGGTTTTGACTCGGTTGTGGGTTGACCTATGATTTTGGTCGGACCAAAATGGTCAAACGGCGAGGAACCGGAGCCGACGCCGCCGCGGCCGCGGCCGCGACCACGGCCTGCACCACCAGAGCAATAGGAAGAAGACGATTGGAGTGAAAAAGGGGTGTGTTTGGTTAGATTACTGAATCTCGTTGCTCTCATTTTCAATTCCAATTTCAATAGAATGATTTTAATCAACTGATTTCAGGGTTTTGCAGTGAAGTCGAGAGAGCATGCAATGTGAGGGTTATCCTTTTGATTTCTTCGGGGGGACGCATATTTCTAGACCCCCTGAGGTTTAATCAAATAACAATGTCCCCCTGCGAATTCAGGAATAACAAAAAAAAATTCTACTGTTAATATTCGATTGTACCTAACCTAAGGGGTATTATTGTTATTAACCCCAAGCAATTTTATTTTTTTAAATACATAATCTGAATACCAACAATTTCTTAGGTCTGTTTGGAAGTTTTCATCATAGCGGTTTTGAAGACAAACCATCACAGCGGTTTTGAGAGATTGTTTATTTTCTAGCAATTCTTACCGTTTTTTAAAATGATAAATTTACATATATACCCATAAAAATACCCAAACTTCCACATTTACTTGGGAGTTTTGTTTTTTCAATTACAAGGTAAGGGTTTATTTTTTGTTTTCTCATGATTAGTATTTTATAACTTCAAATGTGATAAAGTTTCCTTATCATTCTTTGCCATTCTTTGTAGCATCTAAAATGATTGAAAATTTATAGCTACACTTCTCCAATCTCCAAGAAAGCATCTAGAAATGAGATTTTAATAATTTTTTTTGATGAAATTATTTTATATTTAATATGGTTAGAGACGCGCAAAACATATTAATAAATGAGCATAAAGGTGCAAGTTTATGTGATAAATCATGTTATTAGGAGAGACTAATCTAATTAGATAGGGCACAAGACCATGGATTAATTATTAAGAGAATACAAAGTGTTGATACAGAATTCTGCACCAACCAGCAAGATCCGATCAACCTTGTCGGGATCAGAACTGATGTGTGCGTGGTTACGGGTAATAAGCGATGAGTGAATGATAATGCCAGAAAGTAAATGACAAAGAGAACTTTTAAAGTGGTTCGGCAAAGTTAACAGCCTACGTCCACTGTGTTTTTTGTATATGTTGTGAGAGCTAACAATGTAGTTTTAATCCAGAATTCGTATCCCCCTCCTCATCATTTTAAGGGGTTTATATACAAGATTTACATAAAGGAAAGAGCGAAATGCAGAGGATTACAAATGGTTTGAATCATAATTTCGATATCCTTGCGATTGGGTGCTGTGATCGCGTAACAACAACTGTTGATCTAGTTATTCTCACGATATCCAAGATCTGAAGTAATCTAAAGATTGATTGATTAATTCCTCGAATTGTTGGTGACTAGCTTGTGCTGGGTCAAGCTACGACTCGATGAGCTTATGCTAGGTTGATCAATCATACTTGCCGAGATCATTCTGGGTCAAGCTACATCCTCGCGTTAGCCCAAGCTTGGGGGAGAAACCACACACAACACCTGCCCCCTACTGTTCGATGCTCGTTTTGGGCTTCGAAGACTATCGCTCGATTTGACACCAAGCCTGGCTTCAACAATGAGTCTCTGAGTGCATGCTCGATCGGGCTTCCATGACCGACCTTACGTCTGGTCGACGTTCATCATAGTTGGACATTATTACTTGTGCCACCTATCAAAACTCATAATACAAAAAGTTAGGGTATAAATGTAATTTTTGCGTGGTCGTGTCGTATTAAATGCGATAGCCTTTGTCAGTTACGTTTCGTAGCGCGTGAGCGATAACAACTACTCACGTGCGAAGTTGAGGTGTCATGTGACGACGGTTATCATTATAATCAATCCGATGGTTCGTCACACCTCGTGGATGGTCGACACATGGCCACGTCTAAGGGTTGAGATTGCTCAACGAACGAAGGGCTAGGATAAGTTGTAAGTCAATGGTCGAGATTGAACTCCACCCTTTCGTCTTTCATGCAAAAATCACTATAAAAGGTGGTGAATATCGTCAGAACAACCACTCTGAAAGTTCTTCCACCCTTTTGCTTTTCTTTGCCATTGCCCTTACGTTGTCGTGGTGGTATTTCTCATGAGTTCTCAACACTCTTCTTTATTCTAGTATGACTTCTTTCTCTTCCTTGCTCATTTTTCTGACTTTTGTGCTAAAGGGTGGCTGCTATAGTGGCCACATTGGATGTTTTAAGGTTTTAGTATGGTTTTTGGGGTGCATTTTCAACGGTCTCGAGTTTTAAAGGGGTTTAATCGTAGTGGCCACCGGTGTCCTGGGTAGGTCGCGTGACTTCATTGTGTTGCGCGAGCTATTTCGAGTGCTTGAGATAGAAGCAAATATGGAATGGTCACCGAGTTGTTCAAGCTCTAACACATGTTCGCTTCTTTTTTCAGGTACCTAGAGTTGAGTTACAACCATGTCCTCATCTAGCAGTCACATAATAGATCGAATGTTTGATTCACCAGTTGGCTCGACAGCACTAAAGGATGCGTCCCCCGAGATATCTGAAGAGTTTGTCGGCAGAAGCTCAGACCCTGATGTTGCGGGCTTGTCTGATCGTGCTTCGATCCAACTGGCTCATTCCCCACCATCTCTAGCTCACAGGCTACGAAAAGAGTCACAATCCTCAATCACCCTAAGGGATCTTTAGTGCATTAGGGTGACTTATGCACCGCAGCTCAACCTAATGGTCATGGGATAACACTCTCGGAAGAATCATCCAACCGGATGGGTGGTAATTTCTGAGACTCTCCTTAGGTGCGAGGTATCCATTCCCCTGCACCCTTTCATCGATAAAGCGTTGAAGCGATTTGACATCGTTCCTCTCCAACTGAAGGCCAACCCTTACTTGATCATTATCGGGGTATACATCGTATACATGATCACTGAGCTAGGTAAGTTGTCTGTCGAAGAGTTTGTCCACTTTTATAGGCTCAAAAAGGGGCAACGCCAGACGTACTATCTTTCTAAGGCAAGGAAAGTACATTTCAACGGGCTGTCGATGTCCTAAAGAAGGTCCCATATTGGGATTCCCGATTCTTCTTTTACGAAGCCGAGACAAGCGGTATCTTCGCTCCAAAAGTGAGTAAGGCTTTGGTCACTCGTGTACGCGATGACAAGTTTCGAGCTTTACTTCATTATCTAACTGAATTACTTTCTATTGCAGTTAATGTCGAGCAGAACTATCTCCCAGCGGCGAGCTTGCAAAGGTTGCAATATTTTAGTGATCTTCCTAACAATTCGCGCAACGTCCACAAGCTTCTTACACTTCCTCACCTAACGGCGTATGACTTTTGTAGGGACGAGGCCAAATTTTTAGCGCTTTTAGAAAAAAAGGTAAGTTGTTGCTTGCTTGTGTGTGATTTCTCGATCAAATTGATCGCTAACTCGTTTCCCTTTTTCCTTGCAGAAATGTGGGCTGAAAAACCAAAAAGCCTTAAGAAGAAAACGGCAGCTAGACGTCGGCTGCTTCGGTGATAAAACAACTTGTGGATGCTACGTGCATGAAGCGCGCCGAAGGCGAGCTTTTGGAGAGCCTAAGGGCCAAGAAATCCGTAACCTCCTTTAAGGTGGTTGGTAGGAAGAGCACCACCAGACCCTCTGAGGGGCCATCGAAGAAGACATCCGAGCCAATTGAAGGCTTGGGAAAAGGTAAAGCACTCGAGCAACATGATGGCTCGGGGAAGAAGGTGACTGAGCCTCATGGGCGCTCGGGCAAAGAGGTCGCCACGTAGGCTAACGACCTTCAGAAAAGTGCGACCAAAAGCTTGGCGAAAAAGAAACCCGCCCTTGCAGGTGTGGTAGCTACCTTAGAGGGGAGTAGACCAAAGGATGGGGATGGGCGAGGCGACTGAGGCTGACGTCGATGCTTTGGTCGACCAACTCCCCAACCATATCGGTGTTGGGGTTGTGGTGGCTAGGGATTGCGTCACTCCGTGAACATTTGAGGCCGTAAGGGACTCAGCTCCGTCCCATATATTAGGTTTAACCTGCAGCTACGTGGCTAAGGTACTGGTAGCTCGCTTCCCTTTTTTGAATACTATTTTTGTTTCTTGCTCACTTCTCACCTTTTTATTTTTAGGTTGCCATGGCGAGCTAACTCTTGTATGAAGAATGTGGCCAAACCTTGGAGGGAACTCACAAGGGATGGATGTTGGCGGAGATAGTAAAGGAGGATGCCTTGGCCAAGGTCGAGGTTGTAGAGAAAGAGAGGGAGGTTAGGCAAGCCAAGCTTGAACGCCTTAAGGAGAAAGTTGTGGCCTTTGGGGTCAAGGAAAAGGAGTTCCTTGACAAACTCAAGGCGAGCAAGGTTGCTTGGGGTAAGGCTAAAGCTAAGACAACGGAGGTCGACCAGAGTTCGGCTCAGCAGCGAGGAGCCAACAACAAGCTAAACTCTAAGCTTTCCTCAGACCAGAAAGCAGCAGCAAGCCGAGAGGCCAAATTCAAGCAGACTTTGCTCAACCGTACCCAGGAAATGGTAGGTCGACAAAATGCTGAAGCTAAGGCCTAGCAACTTAGGCTTAGGATTGAAGAGTTGAACGAGGCCGTCACTACCCGATCTTGGGAGACGTCGATCTTCCTCGTGCAAAAATTAGGAGAGGCTCATCTGTCGATCGACTTTTCTTTCCTTCCGTGAGCTTATTAGAAAGAGGTCGAAAGGATGCAGGTCGAGACTTAAGGGATGACCTACGTGTACTCGGATGACTCCGGGGATGATGGCGAGGGCCAGAAGGAGGTCGAGAAGGGTGGCAAGGAGGCTGGGCCCAAGCTGGAGGTCGAAGACCCGGTTCCTCTAACCACAGTCCTTCTGAGCAAGGTTCCCAAACACGAGGTCGAAGACAAACGCACTACTCCCCATCAGCCTGAAGAATCTTAGTCTTTTTTTTTTTTTTTTTTTTAGTTTTTTTAATTGCCCGAATGTAATTAAACTTTTAGTTAATGAAAGAACATGTTTCGTCATTTCTCTTTTGAGCAATGATTGTTTCATTTTTACGGACTCATTTAAGTCATCCTAATCAGACTTTGGGACCCGAATGTTCCTCCAAGTCATGTGTAGTTTGCTTCTTTAGGAGCTTTTAAGATTTTTGCGACGTTTGGCATCGATTTCGGGGTTTTCATCCTTTTCGGGCTTTAGTCGTCGACTTAAGGCTGATTTTTTCCGACGTGCTTTTTCTTGGATTTTTCCGAATTTAACTTCGTTGACCTGGGATTTTTAATCTTGATTTATG